GGATAGAAAAAAAGCGAAAAAGTATGATTTCAAAGTTATTACTTTGCCAAGAGAAAGATTATAAAAAACAGCCAACTTTTGTTGTTTGAAAAGTTTAACTTACAGAAAAGGAATTTTCTGGTGAGTAGAGGTGCCCGAACACCAGACGATGATGTTTAGTTTTCTGGGCTAATTTCTTTGCACTTTTTGAGGACAAGACTTTTGCATCGGCACCATCAGAGAAAATTGAGTTTTGTGCATGGTAGTTGGTATCACCATTTCTCTCTTTTGCCCAACACTCCGTAACATCTTTTTTATCTGTTTCACAATCGTACTTCTTCTCTTCCTTGTGGTATTTTGCAACCTGCTCAGCTTCGGTTAATTTCGAATCTGAATCAATTTCCCGACGCTTTGGCCAGCGAACAGTTGATATTCCTGCCTCTGGAAAAAGCTGATTGGAAAGGCTAAAGACGCTTGGAGCGTCACTAGGCCATTCCCCTGTCAATGGTTGACACTGCCTGTACTGCGTTACCAGGTATCGCACGTGTTCGCGAAATCGTGGAGCAGTAGTGAAACAATGTTCCTTGGTTAGAGGTGAAGAGAGCCATAAGGGGATCGAACTGAAGCCCGAAGAAGCAATCGAAACTGACTCAGATGACTCCAGAGGCAGTGAGTCAGTGGCCTGTTTAGTAGTTGAGTTGACTGCATGATTCTATTGAATTATTGAAATCAAATATAGTTGCTGTTAAATAGATAACGATGTTCTTGCAGTAAATAAAAATAAGGTCGATAAGGACGAGCAAAGCTATAAATTAAGATATTTATCGCCTCCATAAAGCTGTTCCATTTCTAATTTTAACTCAAGCACAAGCAAATAATAGGATACTGACCATTATAAAATTTTATTACCTGAAATATAGATACGCCTATTCAGTCAGTGGGGTTAAGCAGTAAAGGAATTCTTATAAGAAAAATAGGACTATTAATGAGGATTCGTGCGTAAATAAGTCAATGCTGTTACCATTTCATCAGAGCTGGACTTCATTCATATGGCATCGTTAAGCTAGAACGAAATGGTGGAAATTTACCTGCTCAGCACTAGATGCTATAGATACTCCTATAAAGGATGAATTTAGGGAAGCCTACAATAATGCAATAAGTTCATGCTCATTACATCTAGCTGCATTCACGATTTTTAATGAGATAATGATTATAGGTACAAAATCATCACTGAAGGTTCAGGCTAATAAGAATAGAAGGTAACATCTGATTAGATTACCTGTTCACACTCAGAAAGGCATCACCGCAATCGAGTAATCTTAAGTGTATGTTCAGTTGAATTAATGAGCCTTCAGTTTAAACTCAGATGTGTAAAAGTTGTGTGATCGATATTAGAACACTTATCGAAGACTGGCAAATTAGGGTAGATAAATTCAAAAGCATCAAGGAAAACATTTAAGTTGTTACCTTTTAAGAAATGAAGATGTAAGTCATTTTAACAAAAAGGATTATTTCATGAATAGACTATTTTGTGGCAGGCTTGGCTGTATAAGTGTACGAAAATAAAGAGTGTTAAAGCTTCTTTCAAGACAGTTTTAATAGAATAATAATAATAAGATCTAGCCCAGTTGATGCGACACTTTATAATTCTGATCGGAAATGAAATAGGAC